TGTAATCCAGAACTGAAACATATTTTTGCTAATTGAGTCCAGTTTAATTTTCCTGATTCCTCTTTTAAAAACCAGGCAGGAGAAAGGCTCTTCTCCAGCACTGTCCGGTGGAATGTTCTAGAACGTCGGAAAGATTCTGTATTTGCCCTGTGCAATATGGCGGCCACGAGTCGTGTGTGGCTAATGAGCACTTGAAATGCGGTGCTGCTACTGAGGAAATAAATGTAATTGTAATCAAATTTAATTAAAAATTAAGTTTAAATAGCCACATGTGGCTAGTGGTCACCTTGTCAGGCAGCATGACTCGATTTTCTCTATTCTTCCTTTAAAAAAAGGGGAAGGGAAGGGAAGAAATGGATTTTCCTAGTTTGTCTTTATCCAGTCCTGACCCAACTAAGTTGATTATTTTACTTCATAAATATACAACTCTTGAATATTTACTGAATATTTCATTATATGTTGTTCAAAGGCTACCTGCATCAACATCCTTTGGGGTTCTTTAAAGTGCAGATTCATGGACCCCAGGAACTTGGATTTTTAAAAACCCCCAAGGGTTTTGGCAGCCCAGGGTGTGAGAACACCACTCTACTGAATGTTCAAATAGTGATGCCAGAGTCTTAAGCACCAATGCAGTGTATTCTGCTGGAGTTTGGTTTTTAAAAGTCTTTACCTTATTTAATTAAAATTCTGGAGCAATTTATGCATTCTATTGTTCACCTGGCAGACCACTTTTAGGAAATTATTTCTTGATGTAAGTCAAGCAGAGAGAATCCATCACATTTTTTTTTTCATTGTCATATAATACTTAAAGAATGTTGATTAGCAAGGAGAATATATTATAAGGCAAGGCGAGTGTCACCAAAATATGCATACATTTAACTTGCACTTGAACCACATACATTTTTTTTCATGCACTAGACAGATAGCTGTATATTTATTACATATTTAATAGGGTCTGAAGACCAGCTGATTCATTGAAAAGAGATGTACCATAGAGAGCACCATTTCAGAAAAATTACAAAACATCTGTCTAAAAGCTTACAGGCCATTCTTATTTCATGTATTCAGCAAAAAGAGAAATACAGCAGCTGTGCACTTCCTGTCTGTTTAGAATAACTGGAAAATTAAGCTCAACTTTGAGGTGTGTTTGGTATCACTGTATGCAAATATAAGTGATACTAATGGATGTGGTACTCAATATAGCTTCTGGTCTTTTCCTTGGGGAAAATTTCTAGGCACATTTAAGTCTCTCTCAGACATTAAGAGTGTCTTACCCATAAATGCTGATAAAAAGAGTGGGGACAATCTATGAAATCTTTAGTCTATTAATATCTTTAGAGGATAACAAAATGCAGGAAGCAGTACTTTGATCACCCAGTGGCACCTATCCCATTTTTAACTTAGGTGTGCATGTTTTCTTTTCATTTAATTTGGTCACAGGACTCTGAAACCAAAATTGCTTTCTGCGCAAAGAAAAATGCTTCTCATTAGCATTTCCACTAAGGCCACTTTATGCAAATCCAGTATTATTAACTAAATAATGAAGTGACCTCTTATGCAAATATGAAGACAATTTGGCATTGAGGTATGGGAGAAAAATTAGGACCTGAAACACTGCTGTCTACTCCATCCTCCATTATTTCAAAGAGAGAAGTGATACAATGCATTTTCCATATTTTCCTGTGTGACTTTCCAGAGAGATGGTTGAAATGTCAGCCTTAGTCTAGTCTTAGCCTCTCTGGGTCCCCAACCTCTTCCTCTTCCCTCTTCTTCCCAATGTTTCTGGGCTTTACAAATAATTGGGACATTTGAGGAAAGTTTAAGATGCTATGTCCTACTCTAAACAATCAATTCATCAAGAACATTACACTCTAGGGAATTCCATGTTTTTCTCTACGACTACCCTTACTAGTAGTCTTTTTGCTCTAAAATGTCTACCATTTGATATTCAACTATTGGTCAGAGTTAAGTCCCATTGCACAGGATGTTTTAGGACAGTCTATAGGCTATATTATTTGATCTCTAGGATGGCTCCATTTGATTAAAATATGACACCCAAAAAGGTGAAAAGTTAATATTTCTTTTTCTGCTGACAGAAAACTCTTAGAATCCAGCTTCCCTGCAGCTTTCCTGACAAAAGAAAAATTTCAATGTTTTCTCAATATAATGTTGAATCAAGCTGAAGTCTTTGGATTTGGAAGAAAACAACAAAAACAATAACAACATTAAAGCTTTAAAAGTTGATGTGAGGGCCGGCCGAGTGGCGCAGTTGGTTAAGAGCTCGCTCAAGAGTTCGAGCTCTGAGCAACAGCGGTTTGAGTCCCTGCCTGAGCTGAGCTGCTGCTGAGCTGCCAACAGGTGGCAGGATGGCTCAGCTAAAAAAAAAAAAGTTGATGTGAAAAAGACAAAAACTCATAGAGAAAACGTTTGTATTATTATCAAATTAATTCTAGAGGAGAAGCTTCTACTGTGCAGATATAACCTTAGTTTAAAAAATATACTGCAAAGAAAATACATTTTTTAAAGGCTTCCAAGTGCTGATGATTACAGTTCTGAGTACCTTTTAAAATCTCCTTTCAATTAATTTTTGAGGCTTGATAGGTAATGCTTCTGTCCCGTGAGCTTGATTTGATTTTACAAGAAGGTGACCTGAGACTTGTTCTAGCAGCTTTGACTGGCCAGGCTCAGGTCACAGAGATCTCAAAAGAGCAGAGAAAAGGATACAGCTAGCCCTACAACCAAACTTCAAACTTGCTTGTGTGCATGTGTGTGTGAGGGAGAACGCAAATGAAGTCCACTTTTTGTTTAGTTCTACTGAATTGGTTAAGTGGTTTATAAAGCCAGGGGCCCTCATTATGGTAATGCAGGCTAAATATTTTAAAAAGCATATGCCGCAACCCTGAATTAAAATCATTCTCAGAACCAAGAGGTAACTGGTCAGAAACTCCACCCCATTCTTTGTCTGACCAATTGCAATTCAGAATGGGAGTACAAACGCTTCCTGGGGGAGTAAAGTTGTGCTTCTAGGTAACTTTAGCCAATAGGAAGACATAACGGGAAGAATGAAGAATCTTACTCTTAAGGATGAAGTGGCAAGTTTAATAGTAAGGCTTCCTGCCTGGCATCCACAGACCATCTTTTACCTGGGACTCTCTGTTCTCCCATCATTCATAAATCACCACCATACTCCTGAGAAGCCAAAATGGCCCCACACCTTGAGAGCGTGCAAAAGCTAAGTCCAGAAATAGTTGAAGCTACAGGCGAATCATCCATAAGACAAGGTGGACAGTTTAATTTGCTTTCTTTGCCAAGCAGCCAACTCAGCCTGTTAATATATTTCAAATTAAAGGAGAGAGGAAGGATACATCAATTGACACACCTGAACAATCACCAATGTCCACGTGAGCAAGGAACACATACGGACAAGCAAATGAAAAGCCTTCCCCACAAAAATCTTCGTTCTCTATTTGCTTCAGAGAGTTATGTTACATTGAATGAAAAGATACGTACAGAGGCCCAAAATTCTAAAAATCCCAGATGCGCCGGCCGAGTGGCTCAATTGGCTAAGAGCATGAGTTCTGAGCAACAGGGTCACTGGTTCAAAACCCACATGGGCCAGTGGGCTGGGACCAAGCTGAGTTGCCAATGAGCTGCCAACAGGTAGCAGGATGACTCAGCTGGTGAGAGCACATGTTCTTAATAACAAGGTTGCCGGTTTGACTCCCACATGGGATGGTGGCTACGCCCACCCGCAACTAAGATTGAACACAGCACCTTGGGCTGAGCTGGGCGGCCAGATGGCTCAGTAGTTAGAGTGTGCACACTTAGCAACAAGGCTTCCGGTTCGACTCCCGCATGGGAATGGTGGCTACACCCACCCACAAAGAAGACTGAACACAGTGCCTTGAGCTGAGCGGCCACAAGCTGTCGACAGGTGGCTGCATGGCGAATGGACTTGGAGCTGATCTAGCTGTGCCCTCCACAGCTAAGACAGAAGGACAACAACTTGGCTGTTCCCCTTCACCAATTCCCCAACACTGTTGCCCTCACCCAATTCCCCAATAAAAAAGATCTTAAAAAAATAAATAAATGAAATAAACATCCCAGATATTTCTATCTGGCACTAAAGAGAAACACAGCCTTTTCAGACGTTGTTGTCCTATGATTATTTCTGGGAAGCACATGTGATGACTGGGACAGGCTCACACGCCTAGGCATTGCTTGTTTAGATTATGCTTCCTATCTGCAGAATAGTAGAGGTCAAAGGTATCTGATAGGAAAAAAAGCAAAGCTTTACCACGATGAGGTCTGTACGAACGGCCTGGCAGGAATCAGAAACGGGTGAAGTGGCCCACATGGCAGCTGAGCAAAACCAGGGAGCACATGTCCTTTCTAAGGGACGCAGCCACCATTCAGTCACACACACAGACTTCTGGCAGGAATGTGAGCACGAGATTGCCAGAGTTGCTGGTTTTTCAAAAAAAGCCTGAAATCTAGACTTTGTGTAAAACCTTCCCATTTAAAAATGAGAGCAACTAATTTAAAAAAAATGCTGTGGTGGCTTGGGACGCCAGAGGGCCCCGGTTCGGATCCCACATATGAGGGCCAGTGACACTGCCCTCTACAAAAAAAAAACAAACCAATAATAAAAAAAATGCTGTGGGCCGAATAAAGCAGGTCTGTGGCTTAAATATAGGCTAAAATTAACCTTTCACCCATCTCAATGAAGAATGTGTGAATAGTTAAACTGATTTGCTTATGACTAAAATGGTTTGCCTCTGACAACAGAAATGAAATACACTTTCAGTTAGAATCCAGTAGTGCCTGAAAATATGGAAATGACTGAGTGGACCCTGCCTCAGTAAAATCTGTGATGAAAGCCATAATGAACACAAGAGGCTCATAAGATCCTGGGGGGAAATGAATCTGAAATATTTCATTTAAAAGTCCTATTTGATATCTATTCAATATTACTTTCCAAGTAAAGTAGGTCATCTTACCTGTGCTCTCTTGAGAACGCTGTGCTCATCAGTGCTTGCTATTCGATAGACATTTGCCATAACTATTGTTTTTCCCAAAGGCCCGCATGCTTTCTCCAGATTCTGGTTGCAATCTCACATTGGGGACGGTAAAAATAGAAGACACTGCGAAGAAAACGAAAAGTTATCATTTATATATGCATTGATGTATTTATAATCTTTTCTTTTTAAAAATGCATATTGAGATGAAACTCTGGATGTCTAGCATATGGAACAGTATGGTATGTGTTGGTCTTTGAAATGTTAAGTGGTCATAGTCACATACACATTTACACAGATTTACACACACATGACAAGACAGTCTGCTTTCCCCTCAGTTCCATGGCTCAGTTCATGAAAACAACATATTTTGACCTTCATTTGTGCCATTCTTTCATCCATTCATTAAAGAAATATTTATTAAGCCCTGTGCTGTTCTAGGATTTTGGAATCCTGCAGTGTATAAATCAGAATGAATAGAAATCTCTGTTCTTGTAGATTTCATTTGGGGCAAACAGCTAAAAACAATGAAACAAATATATCAATTACTAGCAAGTGTTATGACAACAAACAAATCAGGGAAGAGAAACTGGAAGTAGGTCAGGGAAGGCTTCCCTGATAAAGGACGTTTGAGTAGAGACCTGAAGGAGGTGAGAGGACAAGCCATGCCTTTACCCAGAGGAAGTACAAATGTAGAAAGAAGACACAGCAAGAGCTGACTCTAAGGAGGCAAAAAGAGGCAGGCAAAACAGGAGACTATTGTCAAAATACAGGTGAAAGAAGACTGTGAGTGACTTGGTGCATGGTGATAGCAGTAGAGAAGCGAGAAGAAATGAGATTCTGGATATATTTTGAAGGTTATGCCAACAGGGTCTGTGGAAGAACTGGGTATGAGTGTGACAAAAAGAGTCAAAGGCAATTTTCATTAACTGGAAGAATGACGCTGCCATTTATTGACAAGGGAAGACTACAAAAGGAACAAGTCTGAGGGAAAAGATCAAGAGTTCAGTTTTGGTAATAGTACGTTTGAGAGGCCTATGAGATGGCCAAGTGGAGACGCTGAGTAGTCAGTTGGATATGCAGCCTGGAGTCAGGAAAGATGGGACTAGAGATATAAATTTGGAAGCAGTCAATGTATAAATGATATTTAAATCACAAAACTGGATGAGATCATCTAGGCTCTAAGGAATGAATGCAGATAGAAAGATATGAGGAGTAAGCCCTCAGGCTTCTAACAAGGAGAGGTGTGGCAGAGTAGGAGAAATCTACAGAGGAGTCTGAAAAGTAGCGGCAAAAGGTATACCATGGCAAATGGTGGTCAATGATGTTAAATTCTGCTGAAGGAGCAAGGTGAGAGCTGGGACAAGATCCATGGATAGAGAAAATAGCAGTTTTGGAGTCTTGGGCACAAAGGCCTGGTTCAAAAGAATTCATGAGATAATGGAAGCCTAGCAACCTGAAGGCAGCCAAAATATTTGAAACAGGTGTGCTTGTTTTATTTTCAGGAAGATGGCATGAGGCTACATTCATGGTATAAGAGGATAATATTGGGTTGTCGGAAAAGTCATGATGCATGTTTGCAACAGGTGGCACTAGTTCATTTTTGGAAGTACTAGAGTCATTCGCATCTATGTTATTGCTATGTCATTTGACAGCTGACAGTTCTAG